CAAGATAATCTTGAAGGCCAAGGACAAACCCAGGCTCCTCTTCTCCATCAGCAACTAACTCTTCCACCCACCCTCTCATGCCAGTCCCATTCTCACCTACAGTGCCAACTGCGAGGCGATGCTGGACTTCCTCGAAGAAAATGTCAAGAGAATCTGCTCAGCTGCCTCTGCCCTTCCATCTACTATACCCTCCCCATCTCCCCATCTCACCCCAGCCCATGCACATCCCTCTCTCCACACCTTTGAACCTTTCTCCCACTCCTCTCTCACCACCACTAAAATCTGCATGAAACTAACCACCTGCTGCCTCTAACCCATCCCTACTCCTCTCCTTACCTTCCAGCTCCATCTCTTTGCCACTCTACATTACTCACAGACATTATAAACCTCTCCCTGTTCACTGGTACTGTTCCCACCCCATTAAAAATGGACGTCATCACTCCTATCCTTAAAAACTCTCCCTGGACCCATCACTGTTCTCAAACTACCGCCCCATCTCCAACCTCCCTTTCCTTTCCAAGGTCCTGGAACAAATTGTTGCTTCCCAACTTCGTTCCTTCCTCTCCTCTTCCTCATCGGGTTTCCGTGCCACCCACAGCACAGAAACAGCCCTGGTCAAAGTCACTAATGACATTCTGAACATCTATGATCAGGGCTCCCTCTGCCTCCTCGTCCTCCTTGATCTCTCTGGCGCCTTCGACACCAACGACCACTGTATCCTTATCAACCGCCTCTCCTCTCATCTCAACCATCACGGCTCTGTCCTTGACTGGTTCAGATCGTACCTCTCACACTGCCTCCACTTCATCTCCACAAACGGTTTCTCGTCTATCACCCGGACAGTCTTGTGCGGCGTTCCTCAGGGCTCTGTCCTTGGACCCCTCCTCTTCAATATCTATCCGCTCCCTCTTGGTGACGTCATCCGCAGACATGGGGTCAACTTCAACATGTATGTGGATGACACCCAACTGTATCTCTCTGCCTCCACCCTTGACTCCAGGACCCACTGCTGTCCGACAGAATGTCTGACAGACATCAAGTCCTGGATGAGAGCTAACTTTCTCCAGTTGAATGTCAGCAAGACCGAGGCTCCTGATTGGCTCCCGTCAGCACCTCCTCACCTCAGGCACTGACAGCATCACCATCCATTGGTTTCACACTCCACCTTACTAAGCCAGTCCGGAACCTTGGCGACTTGTTTAACCCTCAACTATTCTTTCTACCCCACATCCGTGCCATGACCCACTCTGTCTTCCCTCACCTCGCCAACATCACCCGGCTCTGCCGGTGTCTCACACCACAGGCCACCGAAACCCTCATACACACATTCATTACATCAAGGCTTGACTATGCAAACTCACTGCTTGTCGGCCTCCCCAACTCCTCCCTCCACAGGCTGCTGATTATCCAGAACTCTGCAGCCCGTATCCTCTCCCACACCAGACTCCGTGCCCTATCACTCCCATCCTCGCCCACCTCCATTGTCTTCCTATCACACAGAAGATACGGTTCAGGATCCTGGTCCTCACCTTCAAAGCCCTACAGGGTCTTGCTCCCCCTACCTCTCTGACCTCCTTACCATCCAGCTCGCTCCCTCCAGCCTGCTTCACATCCCTTGCCTCACACGCCTCACCATTGGCGGGCGGGCCTTCTGCCACTATGCCCCCACACTCTAGAACTCCATCTAACAGTCCCACCACCTCGCCCCCTCTCTTGCCTCCTTCAAGACCCATCTCAAGACCCTCCTCTTCGACCGTGCTTTCGATTATCCTGCTTCCTCCCCTGACCTCCACTCTCCCCAATCCTGACCCCCAGCTTAGGTCCGAATCTCTGACTGTCCAGCGCCTTGGGACGTCCTCCCAACGTGAAAGGCGCTACACAAATGTAAGTTTGTTATTGTATATTCTCAGTGATATGATAAAGTGCTATAGCAAATGTAAGGATTATTATTATTATAAATTTGAGACATTTTCACAATTTCTGCTTGATTTTGGATTTGAAGACAAAACAGCTTATCTCTGGCAAGGTGGAATTAAGGAGTCGCTTGCTCTATGAATATACTGTAAAGTGAATTGATTGTATATTTTGATGGCGAAAAGAGGCAGCCAATTGTGCGCAGCAGCGTCCCAGAAAGAGTCTTGGATTGAGTGACCTAATTTTTTTTTAGTAGGTGGTGTAGCTTGACGCCAAGCCGGGAGAGAAGGGAGATGACCATAGGCACGGTGGAAGAGGAAAGTCTTCAAGTGCGATCTGAAGGCAAGGAAACGGTAGAGGGATTAAGGCAGGGAGTTCCAGATGGTCAGTGATTTCTTTGAAGGAATCAATGGTTGCATATTGTAAAGGGAACACATTTGCTTTGAAACGTGCTTTACCTCTGCAGAGGCAATGATAAGAAATGAATAAATTCCCTCCCAACACACACCCTGCCTCGGAGCAGATGTGCATTATGAGCCCATGGAGATTAAGAAGGCACACGTTCGAATCTTGTTCGGTGGCGTAATAATGTACCTTGACAAGTATTTATCACATTGTCACGATGCCTCAACGCACTTCAGAGGATTTTATTGTGAAGTCTATTGACAGTGTACTTGTAGGCAAACGCGCAGCCAATTTCCCATTTGGAATTGTTGACATGCAGGAATTTCAATAAATTGCTATTTGTGATCAGCATGATTGAGACACAACCAAGCATACAGGACATCAACCATGTAAAGCTGCAGAGACATGAGATGACTGGAGTGATGTGCTGTGTGATATAACAACATATACAGGGTGACTAAAAAGTTGTGATAATTACCCTATTATCTAAAATATATATATCTATATCATCATTTCTTTAAGACTTATTGGACATTGTAATGGTATCACGACTTTTTGGTCACCCTGTATTTATTTAGCACCCTTCAAGCAGTGATAGAATCTTGGAGTGCTGTGCATTGACGTAGTTTGACACCGAGCCAGGGAGAAAAAGGAAGTGAACGAAGATACGGGCGCAAAGAAATAATAATAATAATTCTTTCATTTGGTGCAGTGGCTTTCACGTCGGGAGGTCTTCCCAAAGCACTTCACAGGATTTACTGTGAAATAATAATAAAAAATAATAATCCTTGCATTTGATAGAGCACTTTTCACGTCTTCTAGATGTCTAAAAGCGCTTCACACAATGAGGTGGAATTTGTGAGTGAATACACTCACAGTAAATAATAATACAACAACAAGATTACATTTGTATAGTGCCTTTCATGTCGGGAGGACGCTCCAAGGTGCTGGACAGAATATAGCATTTCAAACCCAAGGTGGGGTCAACAACAACAACAACAACAACAACAAGATTCCATTTATAAAGCGCCTTTCACGTCAGGATGAGATCGTTGATGACCAGGGCCTTGTTGCAGAGGGAGCGGACATTTTGCAGTCCGATGTGGAGGGAGCGGTTGACAGAAGGGTGTGTGGGAGGAGAGGGGGGTCCAGGTTGTGAGGCAGGGGTGGGGGAGATGGGGATGAGGGAGGAGAGGTTGACTCCCTGGGTCTGTGTCCGGGGTGGGTGGCGAGAGTGGTGAGGAATGGGGCAGTCGGTGTGGCTGCTGCTGGACAGCCAACGCCGAGTGCCACGGTGAGCCCGGCGGAGGATTCCCAGGCTGGAACAGAGGGAGGTTGTGGGTCAGGAGAGGAAGGGAGGGGAGGGGAAGGGGGGTGGCCGATGGCATGGTCGAAGAGGAGGGTCTTAAGGCAGGACTTGAAGGAGGATAAGGAGGGGACGAGGCGGAGTGACTGGGGGATGGAATTCCAGAGGTTGGGGGCAGAGTTGCTGAAACTCTCCCGCCAATGGTGGGGCGGTTGGGTCGGGGGACGTGGAGCAGCCAGAGCCGGCTGAGTGGAGGGAACAGGCAGGTTGGTAGGGGGTTAGGAGGTCGCAGAGGTAGGATGGGGTGAGGCCATGGAGGGCTTTGTATGTGAGCACCAGGATCTTGAACTCGATCCTCTGAAGGATAGGGAGCCAATGGAGTTGGGCGAGAGTGGGGGAGATAGAGTCACGGAGTTTGGTGCGGGAGAGGACACGGGCTGCAGAGTTCTGGATTATCTGTAGCTGTGGAGGGATGAATTGGGAAGGCCGACAAGCAGGGAGTTTGCATAGTCGAGCCTGGAGGTGATGAAGGCATGAACAAAAGTTTCAGTGGCCTGAGGGGTGAGGTAGTGCCGAAGTCGGGCAATGTTACGGAGGTGAGGGAAGACAAAACGGGTCATGGCTTGAATGTGGGGGAGAAAAGACAGTTGAGGGTCGAACAAGATACCCAGGTTCCTGACTAATAATGTAAGAATAATCCTTGCATTTAATATAGCACATTTCAAGTGGTCGAGATGCCTCGAAGCGCTTCTCAGGATGTAAAGTGCAGTGTACTGTGTATTTTGTAAGCGAACAGCAGCAGCCAGGTACACGCAGCAATGTCCCGCAAACACGTCATGGAGTGGACGACCAATTTTATTTCAGGGGGAATGTTGGCCAGGACACTGGAGAGAGAGAGAGAGAGNAACTCCCTTCTCTTTATTGAATAGTGACTTGAGATCTTTAAACAACAACTACAACAAAATTACATTTGTACAGCACCTTTCACTCCAGGAAGAATGCTATACAAATGCAATTTGTTGCTGTAATATCCACATGATCAGGCAAATGGGACCTCGGTGTAGCATCTCATCCTATAAAGTATTGATATATATACATATATAGTATAGAAAGACACAAATTAAATGCAAAGATGATTACTCTGTGAGTACCATTTCTCTGAGTATCAGCACTCCCTTTGTTGATCCCCTGCGTAAGCCCCGCCCTCCCAGACGTGCCTTGATCAAACATGGCGGCGTCCGGCGGTGGGGGGAGGAGACACGGGGTGCGCATGCGCGAGCCTCTCCCGGCCAGGACCTGAGCAGCGGCCGCTGCCGCTCGCCTGGCTGAGTGCGCCTGCGCGTCACACCGCTCCTTGCCTGGGATCCCGAGCGACCCCGTAGGCCGGGCCCGGCAGCAGCGCAAACACAGCCCAAAATGGCGGCGGCGGACAGAGACGACTCGCTGTACCCCATCGCGGTTTTAATAGACGAGCTGCGGAACGAGGACGTGCAGGTGGGTGCGGGGTGGCGGGATTGTCGGCGCGAACGTGGGGAGCATGTCAGAGTGATTAACGACGTCCAGACTGAGAGAATATCCAGTCGGAAATAACAACAATAATAATAATAATAAGCTCGCGGGGCGCTGAGGAGGCTTCACCCGCGGGCTAGGCCCCAGCTGTCTGTCTGTCTCTCTGTCTGTCTGCTGCTCGGGTCAGGGTTTCTCAGGGATTTGTCACTATTTTAATAAATAGTCTTTGACGCCTAAAGTCAACCCCCAAAAAAACACGAGCTCTCCCTCTCCCTCCCCCCACCCCAACATTTTTTTAATAAACGTAAGATGATGGGTAGTCTCCTGTCGGAAAGCCAAGCCGCCCGTTTGGAGGGTTTCTTTATTGTGTGCATTTTGAAATGGCGTTTAAAGCAAAGAGTCTTCAAAGGGAGGGAGGAGGACGGGGGGGGGGGAGTGGGGGACAGGGAGGGAGCGGTGACAGAGGAAGGAGGGAGGGGACAGATTTTTAGACCGTTTTCGAATTGAAAATTTCCAAAATAATAATAGGCCTTTTTTCACACGTAGTCACATCAAAAAACATGCCGAATCCTGCAACATTGGGTGAGATGAAATGTTTTTGGTGGGGCTTGGCGAGAGAAGAGGAGGGAAGAGAAGGATGGGCCTCTTTGTTGTTGTTCTCTCTGAGCTACCATGTCGCTTTTCGGTGGTGGCATTAGTAAGGAAAAACACAAGGGCGACAAGGCTGCAGTTGCTCCCACTGCCTCCACGGTAACATCACCCCCCCTCCTCTGCCACCACCAGTGAGAGGGTGGGTGGTTTGGAAGTGATTGTGGCTTTGACCCCGACTCCTCTCCGGTGGTGGGGGGTGCAGGGGGCCAGGAACAGCTCCCTGCTTGTGAGAAGGGGATGTGAGGAAATAATCCTTGCATTTGATATAGCATCTTATCACATGGAATTTCTGACAGAAATTCCCACATGGAATGGTTAACATGGTTCCATTAGTATTAAGTAACATTTCTGATCTGGAAGATTGACACGCATTCCAAACCCCTTTTGAGTTGCATTTGTACAATACAACAACAACAACAACAAGATTCCATTTATAAAGCGCCTTTCACGTCAGGAGGACGTCCCAAGGCGCTGCACAGTTGGGTCATGACCCGAGCAGGGGGGAAATGGTCAGGGTGAGGGAAGGGAGGGAGCGAGGAGGGGGGAAATGGTCAGGGTGAGGGGAGGGAGCGAGGAGGGGGAAGAGAGTCGAGAGGGAGGCATGGTCAAAGAGAAAGGTTTTGAGACCGGCCTTGAAGGAGGAAAGGGAGGAAGCAAGGCGAAGGCACTGGGGGATGGAGTTCCAGAGCCTGGGGGCTGAGAGGCTGAAGGCCCGACCACCGATGGTAGGGCGGTTGGGGCGGGGGACGTGGAGCAGACCAGAGCCAGAGGAACGGAGGGTACGGGCAGGTAGGTAGGGGGATAGTAGGTCAGAGAGGTAGGAGGGAGCGAGGCCGTGAATGGCCTTGTAGGTGAGGATGAGGATCTTGAAATCAATCCTCTGGGGGATGGGGAGCCAGTGGAGGCGAGCGAGGGTGGGAGTGATGTGGTCTCGGTGTCTGGTGCGGGACAGTACACGAGCTGCAGAGTTCTGAATGACCTGCAGCTTGTGGCGGGAGGTGGCGGGAAGGCCGGCGAGGAGAGAGTTCCCATAGTCCAGCCTTGAGGTGACAAAGGCGTGGACCAGGGTTTCAGCAGCGTGAGGGGTGAGGTAGTGCCGTAGTCTGGCGATGTTCCGGAGGTGATGGAAGGCGGTGCCAGTTGTAGTGCGGATGTGAGGGAGAAAGGACAGCTCAGGGTCAAACAAAACGCCGAGGTTCCTGACTGGCTTTGAGAGGTGGAGAGTGCAGCCTTGGATGCTGATGGTGTCAGCGCCTGAGGTGCGGAGGCGCTGACGTGAGCCAATCAGGAGGGCCTCGGTTTTTCGCACGTTGAGCTGAAGAAAGTTGTCTCTCGTCCAGAAATCTTGGCAGATTCCAGTTCTCCCTAGTTTGGTGCCACCTGCGAATTTGACTATCTTGTGCTGAGTCTTAAGAATCCAAGTTATTTATGTATACACAAGGAAGTGGAGCCGTGAACCATCCATTTGATACTGCCCTCAGCTCACTTTAGTTGGTGTGTCTGTTATCAGACTATTCAATTGTGGAGGGCACCAAAGCCCAAACTTCTAAATGTACTTTTTCCAGCAGTGGTCACCAGTTACAGCTGTGATATCTCCTCTCTGTAACCTGGGTGTGTGAGGCCATCTTAACTAAATTAACTCAGCACAGACCAGTAATTGAACCTGGAACTATCATTATCTGCCTATTTCAGTATCACACCCAGCGTTTACATCTATCTACTGAGCGATGGAGTAGTTTGTACTGTTTATATACTATACTGTTGGCATCTGTTAGTGACCCAAGTTGGCACAGTATCCAATGTAGAAAGTCGTCAAAATGTCAGTTGCACCGTGTGGCCTTGTTTTTGGGGTTTATTCCTATTACAAAAAATATAAGGAGTGATGACATTTTGCTGGTAATATACCATAATTAGATATTCCACTCTGGACATGAGTAACAGATTTGCTTTTTGAACTCTGATGTGTTAAAAAAAATTGCACGATTGAAGAGAAGGGTCTTGATACCGGCCTCGAAGGAGGCAAGGGAGGAAGCGAGGCAAAAGGATTGTGGGATGGAGTTCCAGAGTGTGGGGGCAGAGAGGCTGAAAGCCCGGCCACCGATGGTAGGGCGGGTCAAGCGGGAGCCATGGAGCAGGCCGGAGCCCGCTGAACGGAGGGAGTGGGCAGGTTGGTAAGGAGTCAGCGGGTCATAGAGGTAGGAGGGGGCAAAGCCACGGATGGCCTTAAAGGTGCGGATCTACACACTACACCACCCGCTGCCTCCGATTGGCCAGCACTGGCCTCCTGTTCGTCCCTTGTACCCTCCGCTCCACCATCGGCGGCCATGCTTTCAGTCACTACGACCAGCTCTGGAACTCCCTCCCTCAATCCCTTTACTTTGTCCTCTCCCTCCCCACTTTCAAAACACGCCTAAAGACCTACCTTTTTCATGGAATCATAGAATTGTATAGCACAAAAAGAGGCCATTTGGCCCATTGAGTCTGTGCCGGCTCTTTGAATAGAGCAATTAATGTCAATCTGCAAATCCGTCCTCAAATACCCATCCACCGCGTTTTTAAAAGTAGTTATCGAATCGGCCTCGACCGCCCTTTCAGGCAATGAGTTCCAGATTCGAACAACTCGTTGCGTGAAAAAATTTCTTCTCACCTCCCCTCGGCTTCTTTTAGAGGCTATTTTGAATCTGTGACCTCGAGTCACCGACACACCCCCCAGTGGGAACAGTTTTTCCCTTTCTAACCTATCAAATCCCCTCATGATTTTGAAGACCTCTATCAGGTCCTCGTAACCTTCTCTGCTCCAATGAGAATAATCCTAACCTCTCCAGCCTTTCCTCATCATCACAGTCCCTCATTCCTGGTACCATCCTCGTAAATCTCCTCTGTACCCTTTCCAATGCCTTAACATCCTTCCTATAGTGTGGTGCCCAGAACTGGGCGCAGTATTCTAACTGAGGCCTAACCAGTGTTTATATAGGTTAATCATAACCTCCTGACTCTTGCACTCTATGCCACTATTTATGAAGCCTAGAATCCCATTTGCCCTTTTTTACAGCCTTATCTACCTGTCCTGCCACCTTCAAGGATTCATTCATTCATTTACCTGCGCCCCCAGGTCTCTCTGTTCTTTTACCCCCCTTAAGATTGTATTACCAGCCTATATTTGGAGTCCTGTAGCTCAGTGGTTAGAGCACTCACTTTGCAAGCGAGAGACCTGAGTTCAGTTCCAGGCAGGGCGAAGCCTTGGTTTCCTTACTCCACACAGTGGAGTTTCCTTAAGTTTCCTTACTCCACACAGAGCCTAATAATAATCCCTCCAAAACCAAAAACAATAATAAATTGGTCACTTTCAATCTACGACTGTTTGTGGAACATTGCTGTGCGCATTTGGCTGTCGCGTTCGCCAACAAATATACAGTCAATTCACTTTGCAATGTGTTCTGTGAAGCGCTTTGGGACGTCCTCCCGACGTGAAAAGCGCTATATCAAATGCAAGTATTATTATTATTATTTATTATTATTTTGCCTCCCCTCATTCTTTCTACCAAAATGCATTACTTCGCATTTCTCTACATTGAAACTCATCTGCCATGTGTCTGCCCATTTTACCATTCTATCTATGTTTTGATCGTACTTAATGTCATCTCCCGCTCCGCCTGGCTTGGAGGTCAGACTCCACCATTGTCAAGCGCTCCGGGACACTACCCTGCATGAATGGCGCTATATAAATGCAAGTCGTTGTTGCATTTGGTATAGTGCCTTATCAACGTCTCAAAGTGCTTCACAGGAATTTGCTGCAGTGTATTTTTGTAGGGTGAACACAGGTGTGAGAACGGGAATATTTCCAGTGCAGGATATTACCCTCAAACAGCTAATCTTTGTTGCAGTTGAGATGTTGAGTGTTAGCAGGCTATTTGAATATGGATATTGCATATCCATATGATGTATTCACGCACATGCGCGGTCCAGGAGTTGTAACTAGATAGTGATCAGAAGTGGGAACTTTGGAAGATTTTCATGGACAATTGCTTAAAAAAGCTGTTTGTGTTCTGAGATGGACAGTAATCTTTCTGGATGGTTATGTTCTATGTAAAGGCTGACGTTGAAAGCTAAGAGTAGTAATCTTGTGAGTGAAGGTGATTGAGAAGCTGTATCTTGCAAAATTTATGATAATAATAATCTTTGCTTTTGATATAGCGCCCGGTATTATTGCCTCCGGCAAAACAATCTACCAACTGACTAACCACCAGGTTCCTAATTACTGCTAGGTAAACAGGTGTTTACCTATGAGTTTAAGCAAGTTCATGTTAGCCAGTTATGACTATTAGAGGCCAGGAACACATAGACAAGTGTCCCACAAACTTAGATATCCATGATTATTTAGAGAAGAATGTCATTAAAATTGGCTAATGGTAGTTTGATTGCTGTTATAAAGTAGTTGGATGGATTTTTGATTGTGGAATGATTATGAAGACTGTGAGGTAAGAAGCATAGGAGATCAAATATTCTACAGTCCAGTCATGTTTCTCACCATAAGAATTTCAGCTGTAAAGTTCAAGTTGTTTTGAATAATATATGAATAATTTTAATGTACAGAAGGGACTATTTCAGTACATGTGACTGTGTCAAAATGTAAAATGTTATGCATTCTATCTTTCAGTTATTTCTTTCACCTGTAATCTATTTAGGTCCTTCTTGAATTCGGTGATTTCTCTCTTGTCTTGAGAGGAATTTCCAGTTTTTTCTCTCCTTGAAAATATTGCTTTTGATTGTTCGCTTCCCTCTGATTAGTAAATAAATGATGGTGGGACAGAATGTGAACACTGCAATTAGAAATTTGATGAGTCAAATGAGTTTATTTTTAGCCTTGAGTCTTAAAATTAGAGGTTTTTTTTTGCAAAGTCTGCTGGAAAGTCCTTTGTGGTCCACCTGAACTTGGCTTGCCCTAATTTTCTTTAATAACTAATTGTTAACCCTTTATGTCTGTTGCATTCTTCACTAAATAGCTGTCTTGTCCCCTCTTGACTTGACACAATTTGTTTCCATCATTCCCAGAGTAGTCTGTTCCACACAAGTACCATTCTATGCCCTGTACTTCCACCTGATTGATTTCAAGATCCTCACTCTGACCTCAATACCTCCACACACTTGGCATGTGCTATCTTTATGATCTTCTCCAGCCGCATTCCCTTTGCTCCGCAAATTCAACCTGTCCCCATCCCCATTGCACCACCATTGGTGACCAGTGTTCAGCCATATCCAAATGTTAGTTGTTCTGATCTTTCTCCGGAGGATTACTCATAATAATAATCCTTTGATATATATAATAATAATAATAATCCTTGCATTTGATATAGCGCTTTTCACGTCGGGAGGACGTCCCAAAGCGCTTCACAGAACACACTGTAAAGTGAATTGACTGTATATTTGTGGGCGAACGCGGCAGCCAATTGCGCACAGCAGTGTCCCTCAGACAGTCGTAGATTGAAAATGACCAATTTAATTATTGTTTTTTTTTTGGAGGGATTATTATTAGGCTCTGTGTGGAGTAAGGAAACTTGCCCAAGGTTTCGCCCTCTGCCTGGAATGGAACTCAGGTCTCTCACTTGCAAAGCGAGTGCTCTAACCACTGAGCTACAGGACTCCACTCATTTGATATAGCGCTTTATCACGTCTTCGAGACGTCTCAAAGCGCTTCACAGAATATACAGTAAAGTAAATTGACTATATAATTTGTGGGCGAAACACATGGTTCTTTGCCTTCAACAGAAACTTAAATTAATTGCACTTAGTTTTTCTACTTTTTTTTCCAATGTTGTGGAATGCTAGAGTCCTCTGAATATAGCTAAAATCATTATTTACTTCATATCCCAATGGTCCAGGTTATATTTTGCAACAATTGTTGGCTGTTACCCCTCCCCTCCTCGTTTGTTTTCTTAAATATTATCCTAGCTCCTTAATCTAAAGCATATATGTAAATACGTAACTTTTTAAAAAGCTACTGCCTTTTTTATGATAATATTGCTCCAGATCTGACCATTTCATCCAAGGCGAGTGGTTGTGTTGTACAAGGGGCTTAAAGAGAATCATTTTAGCCAAGTGGCATTTCTATGAGATGGAAAAAAGAATGTTTTTTTTTAAATGTTCACCAAAGGCCAGAAAAATGCCTCATTGATTATAATTGGTTTGATGTGTGTGTTGTTGCCACATTTTGCCCTTTTTAAATTTCTCTCTCTTTCCAGGCTTTTAGATCTCATTTATAATGGCCTTTACATCTTGTGATGTGTGGGTGTCATATTTCAATCAGTTTGACAGTATTTAGTTCTTTTAACCATACTGAAAGTGTTATTGATCCACATCTCCTGTGCCAGTGCATGCAGATCAATAGCCTCTTTTGTAGTCTCTTGTTAGGATGGCAAATTGTGTCACAATTTAGAAATGTTGATCTGAAACGTAAAATGCAAATATACTCTACCCTTATAGGACAGTCCTTAGGATATTGGAAGGATGGGGAATGGATAACCCTGAGGATTGCATGTGTTCAAGCAAGAATCTTCTCAACTTAACTAATGTGGTATTATAAGATCAAGCATGGCCAATTTGCGAACTCTTGTACAGCAGTCATAGAACACCGCATCAGCAATTGATTTGGGGGTTCTGTGTGTAGAGGATTTATAAGTCAAGGGTGTCACAGGCATCTCTAGCTTGAGAACATAAACATTTTTTTAAACAGGTCATCGGTGTTGCAATGCTGTGTGGGTGCGTTCTGGCGGATGGCCCAGAATGTGCTGGATATGTACCATTTAATTGATCGTTGAATTTGGTTCAATATTTTAGCACATTCTGGTTAGTTCTGAAGATTATCTAGGGACTTGAATTGAAGTACGATGTTCACGTTCACCTTTGTAGGCTTTTAGGTTGAAGAGATGTTCTTTTGAGCAGCTGATTACAACAGTTGCCCCAGATGTAGTGATTGGAATTTCTAAATTTATTATTGGTGTATTTTGCCGCACCGGTACCACATTTCTGGCCTGTTTTATGCAATTGAAGAGGCAAGGACTACCATTCTGTTCAATGAATGAGCTGAAGACATCACTGAATCATTCTAATATATTTAAGCTTGCTGTGCACAATTGATTGCCACGCTTCGCCCACAAAATATACAGCCAATTCACTTTGCAGTATATTCTATGAAGCGCTGTGAGACGTCTTGAAGACTTGATAAGACGCTATATTAAATGATAGGATTATTAGTATTGCTGTGTTCATTTATTTGCATGGAGAGAAGTAACTGAATAGTGCCAATCTTTTCACGACTTAGCAATAGAATATAGATTTCTGACGACTCCATTCCGTCTATTGGAATAATTGTTGGAAATCTATAAATGCAGGATAACTACTCTTCAAAGTATAACAATGTGCAGTGTGGCTGGGGAATGCACATTTATTCTAACCTAAGTTTAATTGGGTCTTGCATGTGGAACTCAATGATTCAACCCTCTTTGTGTATGCTTTATATTAACTACTGTCAATTAAAATAAACTGCTCCTCAAGATTATTTACTTGTTTTACTTGAATTATGCACGTTTCGCATAATTCTGATAAATAGAGAATATACTTGCATGGCTATCTTGCAAGTCACAAAGGGATTTAATACATGGTTGATATTTATATGTCTGCTTTTTTTCACCTGCCTCAGTTGCGCCTGAACAGTGTCAAGAAACTCTCGACCATCGCCTTGGCTTTAGGAGTAGAAAGGACCCGGAGTGAACTCCTGCCATTTCTGACTGGTATGTAGAAACCCAGTATTTGCTGCTGGGCTTGAGTTTATTCCAGCAATTTTAGGTCCTATCAGTCTTAAAAATGTACAGCATAAGACAATGATATCAAGATTAGGACCATCCGTAGAATGGGTTTCAAACACTGAAAGTGGTGAACCATTCTCTAAGCTATAGAATGTTTTCAATTTTACTGAGAACTATGGCTCTACCAAAACTCTTTCTGTCATTAACATAGAACTGACCACAACGTTGTAACAGGGGTAGAAAGGCAAAAATGCTGAATGGCATTGCATTTTAAAGCAAGCGTAGTTTAATATGTTCGATCTGATGTGGTTAATGAGTCTAGCTAGAGCAATGAATGACCTGATTCCAGGCAATAAAATACGAGTAAGCCTTCTTTGTCTAATACTGTTTCCTTCTTTCCCTGTGGGAGGTGCAGAAACCCACGAAGCACTCCTTTGATTGGAATCGAGAAACCAATTATACCATTCCTTGCATTAGTGCTAGCAAATGTCTCGAGACCCTTGTGGTGTATAAATTATCGTCTGTTACTTAGATTTTAGAAAATAAAGAGGTAACGAGAATGGAAAGCTTCTGAAATATGTGCGCGCCCGTCCTGTTTTTTTCAAACTGAATTTTCTTTCTGCTCATTGCGGTCTTGGTGCAGATACAATCTATGATGAAGATGAAGTGCTGTTGGCTTTGGCAGAACAACTGGGAAACTTTACTGTCCTTGTGGGAGGACCAGAATTCGTTCACTGTTTGCTGGTAGGTCCTGATGGCAACATACAAAAATAAGCGAGTGTTCGGGTTTACTGCAATTAGTTTGTCTTTTGAATTGTCTGATAGTTGCTTTGAAAGTAGAGCAGTGTGACTCTGGTGGCGTTACTAAGTATGCTGAGCTCAGCAGGTTTCCTCCAAGGCTTTTGATATGTCTGTAATGCTATGAAATGTCCTAACTTGTCTTGATGCAGTTACCTTGTGCATCCCCTTCCCCGCTGTAATCTTTCAGTGGACCAATCTTATTGGTTTATTAGGACTGCAATCTTCGCTATCTTATTTTGATTATTAAAAGAAAATTAAACCTTGAATGCACTTGCTCAAAAGATCCCCAATATTCCAAATGTGAGTGACCTTCTTTAAAGTTGGCTCGTAGCAATATTTTAGATTCTCTGAAAGCTCCAGATTCCAGTGTAATGTTAATGTTGTCATCTTTAACTAAATGTAATTAAATCTGACAAAGATGCAGTGCCACATAAAGAATTGAAGTGGTCTGCACAGCAGCGAGAGATCCATAAAGAGCTCTTTGACGCTGTGGAACACAGATTTTGATTAAAATCGGATGCTGGTCAGATTCTCTGACGTACATTGAGGCATTATTCACGGGTTGGAGTGTAGATTTCACAAGATGAAAGCAAATATTTCTATTGCATTCAATAAGATTTTCATCTCATGTAAATCCAAAGGGGAGATTGTCTCTCTAAAGTACAGTAGAACCCATTAAAGTAGATTCCCTTATAACAACAACTTGTATTTATGTAGTGCCCTTAATGTGGGACAGCATCTGGGAGAACTTGGAACACAACACGATTGGGTTGTGGAACCTTGTATTTTCTTAACCTAAAAATCCCAAATCCTGACATCATGCCATCCAAATCTGACGTCTTACTTCAAAATGGCAGATTGGAATTTTATAGCTCTTCTCTCCCCTCTGCCCTCCTTACAAAAGTGCTTCCTGCTAGTTCAGGGTGTAATGGGCTCTGGAGCAAAGTATGTGACCTTAGGAGTGAAAGAGAATTTACCCTTAAAAATTTTTTTTTTCATTTTCATTGCTTCATATTTGGTGTATTCTCCTCTTGAGAAATTAATCTTGAAACCAATTGAGATGATCATAGGATGAAAGTTCACAGCAGTAAACTTAGTATTGACTTTGTTTCTGGTTCCTCAGCCGCCCCTGGAGAGCCTTGCCACTGTGGAAGAGACTGTAGTGCGTGACAAGGCTGTGGATTCTCTGCGTGCTATTTCTCACGAGCACTCTGCCGTGGACTTGGAAGTTCACTTTGTACCACTGGTCAAGCGCTTGGCTTGTGGCGACTGGTTTACATCTCGAACCTCTGCCTGTGGTCTTTTCAGCGTCTGCTACCCTCAGGTATGCAGCTCTGTAAAGACCGAGCTGAGACAGTAAGTGTATTTTGTTTTCTTCACTGTCGTAGATAACGCATAATCGTTCATCAGACGTATCAACTAGAATTGTATGATGGTAATCAACTGTAGCGTTTTGGATAGCGTGCTAACCTGGGTTCAATTCCCAGGCGAGGAGAAACCATAGGCAAGTTTCCTTACTCCTCTATTTACCTGGCAGCAAGTAGGAAAATGCAGGCGATTGGTGGATTGCTTTCCAGGAATAAAAAATAAATAGTGAATTTGTCGCCATCCAAATCTGCCCATTTATAATAAATAATAGTCCTTGTATTTGATATAGTGCCTTGTCACGTCTTTCAGACGTCTCAAAGCGCTTCACAGAATACACTGTAAAGCAAATTCACTATATTTTGTGGGCGAAACTCAGCAGCCAATTGCGCACAGCAGTAAGTCCCACAAACAATTGTGGATTGAGTGACCAATTCTTTTTGAAGGATTATTACCCCCAGAAAAGCTGTTTTACCCCAAGATTCAATTAGTTTCAATCTAGATAGTGACTCTGAGCAAATAAGTCATCGGTTGTTTCCCTAATAAAATCTTTATTCTCCAAATGCTTTTTCTCCTTTAGTTTTATGCTAAAATTGCACTGTTCAATTTTAAATCACCTCATAAAGTGAACCGAAGCTTGTGGATAACACGGACCTGTTTATTACAGGCATTTCCATAACCTCTGCTCAGATGATACTCCAATGGTCCGCCGTGCTGCTGCATCAAAGTTGGGTGAATTTGCAAAGGTTCTTGAGCTGGAATATGTGAAGAATGACATTATACCTCTCTTCACCACCCTGGCTTCTGATGAACAGGTACCCGATTATAGTACAGCTTCCTGTTCCTCATATATATATATATACATATATATACCTTTTGAACCCATTGCCTTTCACTGAGGAGAACATATGAAAAGCCCTTCACAGAGATGAAGCGAGAGCCCAACACAATACCATTCAGGTTGAAGTGAAAATCCTTGAAGCAAAAAAAGTGAGGGAAATTATTTGGGTCACATCGGGAACTTCATCAGAAAATGTCAGTTGCTAACTAGCAAAACTAGTTCTACTTTATCTTATTACATTTTATCTCCGAAGAGTAATGTACCACAACCTGTTTGCTCCCTCCTCTCAGCGGGCTGCGCCCGGCTTCACTCCCCCCCGGCCCCCCCATCCGGCCTGCCCCACCATTGGCGGTTGGGTCTTCAGCTTCTCTGTCCCCATCTCTGGAACTCCATCCTATAGTCCCTCTGCCTCGCCCCCTTGCTTAACTCCTACAAGACACATCTCAAGTCCCTTCTCTTCAACAATGCCTTTGGTTACCCTCCACCCTTCCTGATCCACCACCAACTCGGGAGCGGATCCGTGACTGTCCAGCATTTTGGGACGTTGTCCTGACATGAAAGGCGTTGTACAAATGTAATTTGAGTGGTGAGCAGACAGACCGAGGTTCCAAACTATTGTCCTGTGACTGCTCAGATTCACTGAAATGACATTTGAAAATCTGGCTGTTCTTGCTTGTTGATCAAATGAGCATTACACTGTGAGAGTCTTACTTCCTTTGTGTTTCATTTATGTCTAAAATAGGCAACCTCTTGTTTAATTCTGCCTTGTGTAAGCCCTAGACTTGAGAATGGAATCGAGGTTGCTTGAGATGACCTGTTTCTCCGCTCCTTTGATTTTAGAAATGGGAATAATGCGGAGTTTGAATTCATTGCTTGCCACAGTTCTACCCGTTTTATTTTTGACTTGCCTTTAAAGGTTAACCTAATCATTTTAAACTTTTTACTGTTCACCTCAAGTCTACAAGTCAATTAGCTACCAATATATTCAGTCCCAATTTTTTTTAGTTTTTGAATTCAGTCTAGTATATAATCCTCTGTTATGCAGTCCTTTTCCCACACTGCATCTTGCATGCTTAAGAATGTGTACTTTGCCCCAGACCCACTTGCCAAGGCTGCTTTTATCCTCTCGTCGAAATCTGATGGATCAAATTGCCCAGATCAACAATAAATTCTAATTTGCACCACATGTGCTGACATAATCCAAGTGCAATATTTCTCCCATTTCCTAGAGATGATGCCATAATGGAGAACACATGGTACTGTGATTAACCTGCTTTACAGTGACCAAGTTTGAATCCATCAGTGCACTACTTAAAATATATACCCCTCACTTTCGTTATTATACTTATCTTACCTGGAATATAAATAAGAGGATGGATAAGGTGCCATGTGCGATCCTGATTCTATAGTTACTTAATTTGTCGTTACTGGCTTGTGGCTATCATTAATATTGCATGTATTTAATTTCAATTGAGATCTGGAAAGCGTGGCTCTCGCCAATTTTCTCGCTTCCCTACCTCTACTTAAAGGACGCAGAACGGAGCTGGAATCTTTCCAGTCTGTGTTGATGTTCATTTCATTAGAAACAATTGACTCGTGATTGCTGATTGCCGACTTTCAAGATAGGAATATCTTTAGAATCAAAATACTTTTGACATCAGAGTTGCAAGCTGCTGGCTCAAACAGGATTGACGAATTTGGTCCAGTAGCACTTACAATACAATATGACATTTGTATCGCGCCTTTTGCGTCGGGGGGACATCCCAAGGCGCTGGACAGTCAGGGATTTGGACCCAAATTGGGGGCGATGGGAGGGACTGGGGTAAGGGAGGGCAGGAGGGCGGCTGAAAGCACAGTCGAAGAGGAGGGTCATGAGATATGCCTTGAAGGAGGCCGTTCCCATTGATTGGCATGTAAAAAGTGATGCCTACAAGTGCTGCTTCGTGAGTCTGTCTGCTGTGTACATGTATCATTTATAAAGGTTTAATAGGAATAACTCCTTCATTGAACAGGATTCAGTGAGGTTGTTGGCAGTGGAGGCATGTGTGAGTATAGCCCAGCTCCTGCCTCAGGAAGATTTGGAGGGACTGGTGATGCCTACACTACGACAAGCAGCAGAGGACAAATCTTGGCGTGTTCGTTACATGGTTGCAGACAAGTTTTCTGAAGTATGTATTAATGTTTGATGGTGCATTAATGTCTGGAGAGACTAGAGTTAATGCGGTAGCTTGGTTTTGTGGACAGAGGGTGTTCAGGATTCAAGCTGCTGGGCTTTCCACTGAGAGCCATCTTATTGTAAGTCGGTAAATGGATTGCTGATAATTTAATTAATTACTGCTGATGATTTAATTAATTTAAATTGAATTTAATTTAGCGCTCGAATTTCTGCATCCATCACTGATTTCATTCTTCTCGCTTGGCAGCTTCAGAAAGCTGTGGGACCTGAAATTACAAAAAATGACCTGGTCCCAGCTTTCCAAAACCTTCTGAAAGACTGCGAGGCAGAAGTTCGTGCGGCTGCAGCTAATAAGGTTAAAGGTGAGTTTTAAAGCGAATGCATTTCATTGGCCATTCATTCCACGACTGCTTGTGGGACACTGCTGTGAGCAATTAGCTGCCGCGTTTTGTCCACAAAATACACTAGTCAATTCACTTTACAGTATATTCTGTGAAGCCCTTCGAGGCGTCTCATCGATGTGATAAGGCGCTGTATCAACTGCAAGGATTACTATTATTATCCCCTTCAAATTTATACAATGATAAATTGCATTTATATAGCACCCTTCATATTGGGAGGACATTTCAAGGCCCTGATTCCCCCACCTACCTCAAAGGTCACGTGTTTGTTGTGGGCATTGGGAGGGGAGTGTTGGGAATACTTTTATTATTTTTCTAGACTGCTTAACGTAAGCTTAGAAGATGGGTAAAATATGGCCCCTGTTTGTGCATGTCAACCTAAATTATATTATAGAACATACAGCCTATCATCTCGCCCCGCTCTACTGGCTCCCCGTCCCCCAAAAGATCAGAGTTCTCGACGGTCTTGCCCCTGTGACCTTAAACCCTACCAACCCGCCTGCTCCCTCTGCTTGGCAGGCACCGACCTGCTTCACGTCCCCTGCCTTGCATGCCCAACCATTGGTGGTCGGGCTTTCAACCTATCTGGCCCCCTCTGGAACTCCAACCCTTCGCCTCGTGGCTTCCCTCACCTCATTCAAGGTCCACCTGAAGACCTTCCTATTTGGCCGCACCTTTGGTCATGTTCCCCCGCCCCTCCCAAATCCAACCCCCAGCTTGGGTGCAAACCCTCAATTATGCAGTGCCTGTCCTCCTGATGTGAAAGCTCTATATAAATGCAATTTGTTGTTCAACGTGTTAACATGATTGAGTTTATAGAAACATCGGTATTTTTCAAAATGCTTTAACCTCTTCTTAAAGCATTTTGACATTATTTTTCCCTTTTTGCTGGGAGCAGTTCCACTGGCCTTGTGTGTCTTGTGGATTCATGATCATGATAGGACCCTTCATCAAAGTAAATTTTAAGCTAAAAGTAAGCAGGCAGGCAATTAAATACAATACAAAATTACATTTGTAAAGCACCTTTCATATCAGGAGGACATCCCAAGGCGCTGAACAGTCTGGGATTATATACCCGGGGGTGTTGCGATTGAGGGGGTTGGAATCGGGGAGGGTAGCCAAACCATGGTCGAAGAGGAGGGCCTTGAGGAGGCAAGGGAGGGAGTGAGGCGAAGGGATTGTGGGCTGAAGTCCGAGAGCGTGGTGGCAGAGAGACTGAAGGTCCGACCACCGATGGTGGGACGGATCGAGCAGGTCAGAGCCTGCTGAGCAAGTGGACAAGTTAATAAGGGGTTAGCAGGTCAGAGAGGGAGGAGGGGGCAAGGCTGTGGAGGGCCTTGAATTTGAAGACGAGGATTTTGAACTTGATTCTCTGAGGGGTGGGGAGCCAGTGGATTCGGGCGAGGGTGGGGTTGATGGGGTAACAGAGCCTGGTGCGGAAGAGGACACAGCTGCAGAGTTCTGGATGATCTGCAGCTTGTGGAGGGAAGAGTTGGGAAGGCCGGCAAGCAGGAAGTTGGCATGGTCGAGCCTAGATGTAATGACGGCATGTATAGGGTTAATGAAAGTTAATGTAATGAAGACAATTGGTACTCGTAAATCTGTGTGTGATTTTAGGAACTGGAGCTAAAACTCCTTGAAGTTGTACGAGCAGGCCTTGCCTTTAATTAATTTTTCTTCCACAGACTTCTGTGAAAACCTGCCAGCAGATTGCAGAGAGTCTGTCATCATGAGCCACATCTTGCCATGTGTTAAGGTAACCCCCTCCTTTTTTTTAAGTTTCTTCGTGATTTGCAGTTTAAAAATACACTTGGGAAGATGAAGGGACCGTGTTTCTTTTCTGTGCAGGAGATGATAATAGTTGTATTTCTCTATTTTTGCTTCCTCTCATCCCTGGTTTTGTGCTGCTTAGAATTGTGGAGACTCTTGCAGGATAATCATACTTAGGATTTCAACAACTTGCAGATGTCTGAGGCTCTTGTCAGCAACAAGGGATAAACTTGCGAAAGGCACAATCTATTTTGCTGGGGGAAATCTCTAGCGAGTTCACATTACAATGTTGGAGTGTGTTTTGGAACAGTTTCTCATGCTCTTGCAGCTCGTCCAGCTTTGCTTTATCCTAAACTGCAGAGTGTGTGTGAAAAAGAGTTTGATTAGCTCACTCCAGCCAGCACATGTGAAGCATTTTCGAAGTTCAAGGGATCAACATGGGAAACACGATGATTAATTAGGAAGCTCAGAGCCTTGGATTTTTTGGGGGTCTATTTTACGGCTTTGATGGGTGAAGAGGTAATGATCTTGCCTGAGCCCAGTATGGTCTCTCTGGCACCCCATACTGAACGGCCTTTGACTGAAATATGTTAACTCAATATAGATTGGAGGTCAAACCTGGGGCCTTGTTTAGATTGATTTAACAAAGGCATTGGCTTTACCAAGGGAGCCATTGTGGGAGCTGACTCCAGTGTGTTTATGAGAAGGGAAGAGTGCTTGTAAAAATGTCACGCCCGTTATTATGGGGACCAGCTGTTTAACATTTGAAACACAATCATATCCCTTCTGCTGGGGGTAGTAACTTGCCAAATGTCCCTTCATGTGTGGTCATTGCAGAGTGCTTGACATCCAGGAACATGCACTTCAACAGCAGTCGGTGACCGTGGTGAGGAATGGATTCCCTGGCAATTATTACTCTCATAAACCTGGGCTGTTGAGGTCAATTCTCTCCCCCCCACTCCTCCTTCCGCTTCCCAGCTAAGATCAGCAAACTCAGTACAGACCAGGGGTGAAGCATAGGAACCTCTTGATTTGGCTGGCTCTGCTACTTGCTCGATAAAACCTGTGGAATCGTTGTGGGAACTGGTAAACCTCATTAGCTGAAAAGCTTGCAATGTTCTTAATGCTGTGAATGTTGCACAAATCCACAATAGCTTCTCTCAATGGCTGTAAGGCAAGTTAAAGTTTGATTTTTTTTTAGTGTTGGGACTAAATCTCGGGTTGAAGTCTCTGAATTAACTTTCATTTACGCATGCTTTGTGTTGTGCCTGAATGATTTCAAGGAATCTGAACATGTAGGGATTTTGTTTTTCAGGTTTCATAAGAACATTGTAGTGAGGAATGACTTGAGTAGGTGTAAATACGAAGGCAGGCTCCCAGATTTGGCTAGTCACAGCACTATGCTCTTTGTCCGTTTCATTTTGAGAGTGTCTGTCTTGAGAGGAATTAGCAGGTATTAATTTAGTGTCAATTGAACAACACGTAGTGAGTATATAAGTGTACTTCTGAGCTGAATATTTCTAAATTATACGTAGAGTTGATGGTAAAGCTGCAGGTGCTGGCAATCTGAAAGGAACTGGGAAGATCTGCAAGCCAGCAAACCCATTATATTTGAAAGGGATTGGGTTGCTGTTTGGAGCTGTCCATTGTGATTGAGTGATACGCTTCAAATAACAATCTCTTTTGATTGATCTCCTGTAGATTTCCAGCATTTCAGTTTTTTATGATAAGTTAGAATCTTTTTAAATTGAAACAGGCCTGATAGTTCCTTGTGCCATACTTGTTTGACCCAACTGCACCATTTAAACCTCCCTGTTAGGTATTTCTAATTTATTAATCCAGCAAGTGATTTTTTTGCAAAATCAGTCACTTTTGCACATTTGTGCGATACTTTAATTCTCTGAAACTGGTTGAAACAGGAATTTTTAACCAATTAGTAGAGCCACGTAGCAACGTTTGGAAGTAACATTTTTAAAAGAGAGGAGAGTCATCACATGTGACTGTTAAAGGGGTCGCGTGTGAGATTCAGCTTTTCGGGCACAAGATTAAATTCCTTTTACACGGGTTGCTTCTAGATCTAACCGGAATATAATTACAATTGTCACATCAAGAAGTGCCATGGGCTTCATTGCTTTTTATAGAGACAGTGGGTTTGGTGAAATTCAATGAAAGAACTCGTGAATGCTAATCTGTACTCATTTCATTTTTGATGCTTTAACCAGTGTCTTTCCCCTTGAAAGTAATCTGGCAATTTGACTGTTAGGTTGTGGTCCAGTCCTTATTGGTGATTGCTCACATTTTAGCAGCTTAGTCTGCTTTGTGTGCTTGGGGGTTTCTTGATAGATCATTGCATAATTACATGGAGATAGTGGTCGATCTGTTCCATTGAAATACATTACAGTACATTCTGTGAAGCGCTTTGAGATGTCTCGGAAAACTTGATAAGGAGCTATATCAAATGGAAGGATTATTATTGAAGAATGAAGTTCTACTTGAACTTGCAATGGAAATTGCTTTAAGGGGGCTTTTTAAACAAGACACTGTATTGTCAAATTCATCTCTGTGCTTAGTTAAAAGTGCATTTCATTGGGGGCTACATAACACACAATAATTTTCCAGTTTTGCCAGATTACTCTCTGGCACCAAAGGGTGGATGGGGTGTCACCAAAGGGTGCCAGAGAGACCTTTCTTAATTTCCCCACAGGGAAGGAATTTTATGAGCCTCCCGTTATTGTCCTTTAGAAGATGAGGAGTTAAATGGATGCAAACCCTCGAACTTTTTGGTCCAGATTCTCTAGGTTGTCTGGGATGCAATTGGAATTAATCATGCTTGCATGGTATGCTTCAAGTTGTACAGGTAACGGGAATTAGCTGTTGGGGTGTAGAAATATGGAAGACAAATTAACAAGTTACCAACCTGCAGAGAGTGTGTTTTAAATAAATATTTAGACATATAGGTTTATTTGTTTTTCACAATTGTAATGGTTAAGACTACAGCTTTCGGTTCTTTGGACCTGACTTCCCTTGTTTCATGATTAATGTTTTCTTTAGGAGCTGGTGTCTGACGCTAACCAACATGTGAAGTCAGCCCTGGCCTCGGTCATTATGGGCCTGTCAACCATCCTGGGCAAAGACAATACCATTGAACATTTGCTGCCTCTGTTCCTGGCTCAGCTTAAAGATGAGGTAATAACCTGAAACGTTACATGATACTATGAAACCAACATTCAACAATTCACTCTCATTATTTTTAAAAAATTTCTTTGGCGTCATTCACACCCTTGCATCACTGCAATGGAATACATAAAATGCTGTTACACTAGACTGTCTCACACAGGTGGTTAGGAAAACTGATTCAAGTACTGACTTTTCCTTAAACTGGAGGTGAATGCAGGTCATTCTTTAAAATCTGTATACTTTGTGCGGACAGTGCCAAGAAGTGGGGCCCACAAGTGCAGACTCTTCTTGCCTCTCTGCACCCTTTTACTCTTTGAATTGTTGGTCCCTGTCCCAGTTCTCTTCTGCACAGTGTTGTGGGGTACACATTCCTTTGGAAGCGCATAAATGAGGGCTGGAAATGCCCAGAGTATATAAAAAATAACAAATAAATTGGCCACTCAATCCACGGCTATTTGTGGGACACTGCTGTGTGCAATTGGCTGCCATGTTTCGCCCACAAAATATACAGTCAATTCACTTTACAGTATATTTTATGCAAAGCTTTGAGACATCTCAATGCGGTTTTCAGAATATTGGCATCACGACCCTCCAAACTGAAAACTCCAGCACATTTGCCCTCAAGATGCTAATTCTTATCAGATTTCAGATAAAAATTCCCATTCAGATTTGGGATTGCATACGTGTTCCATTCACCAGCCAAAAATCATTTATCGGATACTAATCCAATTTGATGAGGGATTTCCTCCAGTGGGGCCCGAGTTCCTCAGGAAGGTGCAGGCCATTAATGCAACCATGCATATGTATGTAAATAGTGTTGATTTCATAACTAGTTGCCTGCACTTTAAAACACTTTGTGGTATTTTGCTAAAGTGATTTCCTGTGATTGTTATCTATGCCTCTCAAAATTGCAGCTACTTAAACCGAGGACGGACACTGAGCGATGTGGCGTGCAGTTTCTTCTTTCCCCATTGAAAAACTTCTCTATGTCCTTCATTCCACCTCTCCTCTCTCTCCTTCTCCCCCCACAGCCCCACACCCACCCTACCTCTGCAAGCTCTGCACTGGGCCAGTCCCTCCCCTCTTTCAAGGCACGTCAAGACCTAACTTTTTGACCACTCTTTCAGTAATCTTTTCCCCTCCCCACTTTCACCTCAAGCTCAGGTGCCCGGCTGATAGTGCCGAGTGCTTTGAGACATCCTTCTAAAATGAAAAAGATGCTGTGTCACCGTTATGTTTCTGGAAAGGAAACACAAAATGCTGCTTAGGTGGCCCACAGACCTTCTCAAACGGGGAGCCTGGCCTGCGGCAGCCAAAAGTTTGGACCACCCTGACATAGAATATTAAAACACGGAAATGGCCCATTCGGCCCAACCAATCCGTGCCAGTGTTTGTACTCCGTATCAGCCTCCACTCCTCCTAATTCCCTCGCCTATACACTTTTATTCTCCCTCGATATGCATTGTTTCCTCTTAAATATGATGATGCTTTCTGCTTCAACCAATTTCAGTACATGGGTTTCTTTATATTTGCTGTATCTCCCTGTCTTCCCCCTCCCCCAGCCTATTCTAAACAATAACATTACAAGATTTATTTTCTTTCGCAGTGTCCTGAAGTCCGTTTGAATATTATCTCCAACCTGGACTGTGTGAATGAAGTTATTGGGATTCGCCAGCTGTCGCAGTCCCTTCTGCCAGCCATTGTGGAGTTGGCAGAGGATGCCAAGTGGAGAGTGCGGCTGGCAATCATTGAGTACATGCCTCTACTAGCAGGACAACTGGTATGTGAGAGCTTCCAAATGTGTTTGCCACTTGTTAAAGATGTGTTGGTCTTCTTGCTTAGCAATAACGTACCTGTTGCTTCTTAAAATGTCTCTTTTTAAAAAAGGTTGGTTAAGATATTCAAGTGCCTTTGATTTCTTTCCTCTATTTCCTCTGTCTTCTATCCCGACCCCAGCCCCACCCAAAAAATTCCTACCTCCTAATGGGTGTAGCTCTTAAGTGATTCAAATCTGGGTTAGGATTGTGTTTCCCAATTTTAGCAGGCTTCAATGCCATTAGACTTGTAGGTGTTCCTGGATAGTGATCAAAAATAGAAACTTGATTGATTTCTTTTTCCTCTTTCCCCCTCCCCCCACCCTCCGAGTTCATGGCAGTAAATGGCAGCACCTCTAACTATGAGCTGATTCAGCACAGGTCAGGAATTAAAACTGCATCCTTCTGGTCTACATAGTACATTGTACAAGACCATATCTTTAGCCTCTAGACGTTCGGGGGGGCTTCAGGGTTAATGTATTTACAAGGAGACTTGGCATGCGGAGTGAGGGTGGAGTGGACACACGGCCAAGGGAAAATGAAAAGTACAGCTGTGCGGATACCGGGAGGGATTTGTGATTTGGAATTGCGCGATCCCACTTGGATTATCCCAGAGAAAGCAACAGTTTCGCCTGGATTTAAAGTACAATCTGAGAAAACCAAGAAGAATGTTATAAAGCAATACACTTTGGGGGTCTAATGTATAGTAGTTTCAACTGGCTTTCTTTATGAGGTGCACTGAATTCAAATAGCTGCTATTAAAGTGCTGTGAATGGACGGTGCTGGGAAGGTTATTGGAGTTCATTTGAGTTTGTTGCTTCCTGTATTTTTGCTGCTTTTGAGATTATCTTTGCTGAATCTTGTCAGTTTTGGTTAATTTCAATAAAATATTTGAAGTCATTTCACTACGGTCAAAGTGACATGTCCAGTGAAGAGGGAAGGGGTTATTATCTTTCTCTCCCCCACCCACCTACTCCTTTGTGTTTAGTCTGGCACAACTGGACCTCCTTAAGGATTTTCAAACTTGCTTAAACAAGGAAGTATAGCTACCATAACTTTGGAACATCCTGATGATGCCCTGCAAGACATTGTTACACCCTTTACTCAACACCAGGCTTCTGTTAATGATGGCTTACCTCTCAATACCACACCCAAGTGGCCTTTTTATACATATAATGTGTAGCAGGGCTAATTGAGATAAATGAGTGCTAGTGCACTATTGCACAGTCGAGCCACCACAGCAAAAACTGGTCCTGTGCTTAAAGAAGCAAGCAGTGCAAATCTGAGCTACCATTGTACATCACCTAGCCAAGAACGCTAAGGTAATTGGGGCGCCTTTTTGTTGTCTACTCTGATATTTATTTAAAGAATGATGTATTAGTAGCTGTGAAAGAGAAAACAACGCTTTTTTCCTCATACCTCCTGCACCAGAGCGTTTGTATAGCACTCCAAAACACCACTCTTCCCCCCCCCCCATTAACTAAAAATTGCTTCTGTTGTGATAATACTATCTCTGAACATTTGACAAATAGAGATTTACTACCTGGCTCAGAGTATCTGGGATGCTTTGCTTGCTGTTGCGTTGACATTAATGGGGTGAGAGGTGAAGTGGGGATTTTTCTCCTGGAGAAAATACAATCAGAGTGCCAGCCAGTATCCAGTGTTGCACTCTATAAGCACATTAACAGCTTCTGCTCCAATGGAAGGTGCAGCTGGCACCTATTTACCTCAAATGCCACATCTCCACATTACATAATGATAATATGTATTTGATACAGCTCCTTATCATGTCTTCGAGGCGTCTCAAAGCGCTACAGTAAAGTGAATTGACTGTATATTTTGTGGGCGAAACGCAGTAGCCAATTGCGCACAACAGTGCACATGTGTAAAATGGCCATTTGGGTATGGTATGCCATTTGGGTATGGAGAGCCTTGGGAAATTAAGTGCGGAAATGTCAAGTAACTTCCTCAAGTGGCAGTCCTTCAGTAACATGTTTTTAAATTTATTTTTCAGGGGGTGGAGTTTTTTGATGAGAAGCTGAACTCCTTGTGCATGACTTGGCTTGTGGACCATGGTAAGTTCTGTATGCTTTCAAAAGCCCTGGAATTAGAACTGCGATTGTTTATGTTTAATGGTATTATTATTTGCTTCTCTGTGCCATGACCTTGATTTAGTTTATATTGAACCTAGCAAAATGTATGGTATCTGTGTATTTGGGTTGAAGCCGATGCACACTAAAGCATACTGACCGTGCAGAATCCAATGGGCTTGTCCCGTACAATGTAAATGTTTAGGAGGGACATTTGCGATAAACACTAACACATACAACTGCAGGAGGCATTGTTCAGTAACTAAATAATAATAATATAGCACCTTGTCACCATGTCCAGTTCTCTCAAAGCACTTTACAGAATTTACTATAAAATGGTTTAACTGTGTATCTTGTGGGAGAAACTTGGCAGCCAATTTGCACACAGCAGTGTCCCACAAACAGGAGTGAGTGACCAATTGCAACTGGGGGATTGTTGGTTAGAACACAAGGAGAGAGAAACTCCCGTCTCTTTTCGAATAGTGCTATGGGATCTTTAACATCCACCTCAACATCAGACGGAACTTTGGTTTAATAGCTCATCTGAAGGACGAATGAATGATTTTATTAAAAAGAAGATGGGATGCATTCCAGGTACTACAAAGGACCTCAGTGACCCTGGGTTATGGAGGGAGAAATTAGCTGGTGATTTCCTCAGCTGGAGGGTACAAAAATGAGCACATAGGGAGAGTCAAATAGCCTGCTGACATTCACTGTCAAGCTTCACACATGAATAATGACCACTTGGGTGAGGGCAACTGGCATTGGTGGGACTGGACCCAGGTAGAGAAGAGTTGAAGTTCATTCAGCAGATGGGAAAGATTGTCAGAGAAAAAATAGTCCTACTGTTTTACAATTAAAACAATAATAAATTGGTCACTTCAATCCACGACTGTTTGTGGGACACCGCTGTGTACAATCGGCTGCCCACAAATATACAGTCAATTCACTTTACAGTATATTCTGTGAAGCGCTTTGAGACGTCTAGAAGACATGAGAAATGCTATATCGAATGCTAGTATTATTACTGTGTGTGACGTGTGATTGACGCGCAGTTTGAAGACCTTGTTCCCAATTGATTGTCCTAGCACTTATCAGGAAGCCAGCATGTCAATATTGTTTTTAAGAATTAGAATAAAAAATAACACTGATGTGCCTGAGCAAATAGTTTGTGATGTTTTAAGTCTGGCACAATGTTCTTCTCCTACTCCCAAGCTATTCCATGACGTTGTGGGTTGAGCAGATAATGAAAACAGAAGCATTGCTGAATCTGTTCCAATTTGGTACGTTATCCGCCCGACTGGCTAATCTGAAAAGCGAAAAGCACGATTATTTTAGGGGAAACTTGTAATAATAATCCTTGCATGTGATACAGTGCCTTATCACTTCTTTGAGATGACTCAAAGCACTTCACAGATTATATTGGAAAGTGGATTGACTTTGTATTTGTGGGTGAAACGTTGCAGGCAATTGTGCACAGCAGCCTCTCACAAACAGTCATGGATTGAGTGACCACATTATTATTATTTTTTTAAGTGATTGTGTTCTGGTGGAGATCAGAGCTCCCAGGCATTGGCTTTGAGGACATGTCTCCTAGCATTAGTGACAAGCCTATTCACCTTTGGGAAGAGCAAAATAGCTGTTGCAAATAAGTACAAACTTCTTTTAAGCAGGCTATTTCAGACTGTTTTCACTAATTGAAGGCAGCAATTACCTGACCTTATGATTTTTCAGTATGATCAGAGAGGAACTACAAGGGTGGGTTAATCTGTCTCTTACCTGGAGTGTCCTCTTTTTTGTTTGTTTTACCAACTCTCAGTCATCACTGCCCACTTTCAAAATAAATTACTACATAATAGGGTAAATGTGTGATGGCAAATTGAAAATACTTTTCTTTCCCATAAGAAAATTCTTCTTCCATTTAAAACTGAGCAACATCGCAGTTGAGCAATGCACCTCAGATGTCGCCATTCTGTACGTTCTGTGGTGTGTGTGTTTTCTCCCTCTGCATGTAAGCAAAGACTTTGTTAGCTCACTGCTTTGACTAGTGGTTGGAATTCCAGGCTCTGGACAAACGTTGGCCAGTCGTTGGCTGATTATCATCGTTTAATTTAAAGCAAACTTGAAATCTTTCTTCTGTGTGGAATGTGTCACAGATCCTGGCAGCAATCCAAGGAGCGAGGCTCGAATTGCACGGAGTCTAGGAGGAGCCATTCCAGTTCAGCACTTTGCATAACCATAAACAAGGCTGGGGAGACGTGCAAAACTGCAGCTTTCGTTCAAGGGTCTCTGTTTAGACAACTCGAGCCTTCCTGTCAGGCAGTTGTTATTTTGCCATGTGTGCTTATTTTCCTGGGAAGAATTAATTTGATGGGATTAATTTAGGAGTGGAGTCCTGTAGAGTATTGGTCAGAGCACTCACTTCCCAAGTGAAAGGACCTGGGTTTGATTCCTGGGCAGGACAAAACATTAGACAAGTTTTCTTACTCCACATGCTACGTTTTGTCCACAAAATATGGTCAATTCACTTTACAGTATATTTTGTGAAGCTCTTTTGGAGTCATCTCAAAGACGTGATAAGGCACTATATCAAATGAAAGGATTATTACATTATCATTTTTAAAATTTCATGAGTAGAGGTACCAAAATTACATGCTATGATTTTTTAACACAGCAACAGACTCTCAATTTCTCCTGATGGGGTGGGGGGGGGGGGAGAGGGGAGGAGGTGAATATTAATGGGATGGTGAAGAAAGGTGAGTTACCTTCAGGGGGGGAAATCTGAGGGTCTGTTCTGTGTTTATCGCTGACTGGAATAGCCTGAGGCACGGGGGAAGGAGGTTACCTGCGCTCACAAGACAGGGAATACCTTGTGACATTTTATTATTGCAGCATATAGTGTTTTAATATGCCATCGAGATTCATAAAATGAAAAATGTGGCACCCTCAAAGTTTTAGCAGTTAATAAAACAAATACAGTTTGCAAGAGAGAGTTTTTTTATAATGTTACTCAAAAAACATTGCTCAGTGTTCCCCATAGAATAAAGTGTGCAGATTCTGTGTGAACAAGGGAGCGATTTAACATGAGGGATGATTTAGCTTTGAATCTGGTTACTAAGGTTCACTTTTAATTGGCAGTAAGATCACGAGTATAGCAATAAATCTACTCGGAAAGTGGTCAATGTTTGGAGAGTGACTATCGCCTTTCCTGTGAAGTAAGGCACTGAATGCCTTTCTTGCAGCATCTTAAATGTAGGCTTTTTAAAAATAAATAAAGGCAAAACTAGTTTTATATTTACTTGTTGAATATTCCAGTAAGAATCTTGAGAATTTTGTATTAAATTTATCTCACCTGTTCTGAGTGCGCTATATAAATTCAAGTTGTTGTACCGTGTGTACAGTGAAAACCTGAATTGTAACTTTAAAAAAAACATTTATTATACATTCGCAAGCCCAGGCACCGGGGAAAATCTTCATTCCACGGTTTCACAAACAAGCTTTCTGCCACAGCAAAGAAAAGATCCCAACTAGACTCCTTTGCATTTGAAACAAGAACCCTACCTCCTTATTCAGAAGGATTAATAATTGAGTCTTTGCCTTGTATGGATTTGACCTCAATTGAATGAAAGTGTAGCTTTAAGATGGAGCAGAATTCAAACCTGTGTGATCTGTCACTCAGGGATAATTGGATTGCGGTGTTGTTCCCTTGACAACCCACCCTGAAAGTGTATTGCAGCCCCCGGAAGACTGTCTAGGCTAGTTCCCAGTGTATTACATTGACACCTCAATTACCTCTGTCTCTCTTTTATATCACACCAGTGAAAAATGCTGAATTTGTACGATCAGCTACCGTACCTCGCCTTACATTCCAGTGACCTTGAATGAGCTGCGTGGAGCCACAGCATCCTTGAACTCTGGAAGCACGTCCCTTAGTGTACTGAAACGCTTCAAATATCCTACTTTAAACATTTAATGTCCTCATATGATTAGTAATGATATTCCTGTGCGTTTGTTTTGCCACTCTCTTGTTTTTTGTCTACTCAAAGTTTTTGTTACTTGAATTTTGTGTTTCCTGAATCTTGTGCAATGTATTAGCTGCTGTGTTTGCCCTGACGTATTACTACACTTTGAAGTAACTCCGAGGGTGAAGAATTTTCCATCTGATACTCTGCAATTATTATGAAAGTTTAGGAATGTGAAAATGCCGTCTCAATCCTGTTTCACGGTCCTATCTGATACTCTGCCTTTCAAATCTTTTCCTGTAGCCCAACACCACAATGTTTTACTTTGTGCTGTAAGAGGAACTAATAATCTGGCATTTATAACTATAAACTGAGATGGGTTGGTACTATTTGAAAAGAGGATTAGCCAACAATCCCTTGGATAAAATTGGCTATTAGTAGATCATTGCTGTGGGCAAATTGACTACAGAATTTACCTAGAAATTACAATCACTCCACTTTCAATATGATATCCTCCTAACTTGGAAGGCTCTGTATTAAATGCAAGGATTATTATTGTGAGCAGTCCCTGAAAGACTGAAAAAGGACACTGCCAACATTGGCCTGAATGTGTAACTAGATAATATAGCAGCACTCACACCGAGGCCCAGTTTATCATTCTGTAATTAACAGGCATTTTGTTTTCTCTGGTTTGTGTTGCTTGTAATGTGTAAATCTGTTGATGATTGTTACTGGAACCTCTATACTGTTTTCAACTTGGGGAAAGGAGCAAGAGTAGAACCTTGCGTGCTGTAAACCCAGGAACTTCAGACTTGGTGTCGTCTTATCAGCTACTCGAGCTAGCTGATAGCTTGATAACCTCATAGCCGATAACTTCACAAATTGGGTTTATATGTGATTGGTAGAGTTGTGGGCGAGGTTAGGTGTTATTTATCATACGAAGGGTTATCCAAACTTGAAATAACAGCACCTTGGGCGTCCTCCTGACATGAAAGGGACAATACAAATACAAGCTGTTGTTATTGAAAGCAAGGCCATAAAATTTAAAAGGGACTTTGACGTGTTTTAGATTAAAAACAATATGAAGGGAGTTCATGCAAGAGTAGGGGATTAGGCTATTCAATGAAGGTTATCCCAGGGCAGACTTGCCTAAGGCAGAATGTGGTGTAATTCCTTCTACTATAATTCCTATATAATACAGAAGTTCTGTACTAATGCATGAAAAACTATAATATACTTTGGCTTGGAAATATTGAAATGCTGGCTGTGTAACAGGCTTTCAATTCCCTAGAATACAGTTTTAAGCGATGGTCATCAATGCAGGCTGTCCACGGTAATTTGGACTGTAATTGCTATGCACATTCATTATGTTATTGTGCGTCCATTTTCATGTCAACCAAATAATTTTGCAGGCGGGGAAGGGGGCATAAGTATTTGTTATATAGTTTTCAAAATAGCTCTATTGTGGGCTCTTATCAATTCATGAGCTCCTGAATTTCTTGCCTCATTTTCTACTGAAGACACAAACACATGAATTGGAAACCCTTCACACCTAGTGTCTATTCTACATGTGCAGGAATGGCAGTGGGTGAATGGACAGGATGGAGCATTGTTTAGCTATAAGGGCATCACATTTGAGGCTGATCATGTTCTCACCTGAGGTTCACGTATAGCACACTCTCTAATGGATCAGTAATTTCCTATTGACCCAGAGACATTCAACATAGGAACATAGAAACAGGAGGAGGCCATTCAGCTCTTCGAGCCTATTCCGCCAGTTAATTAGATCATGGCTGATCTGTACCTCAACTAATCCCATCAATTCCAGTTTCCCTCTTTTTCTCCATATCCCTTAATACCCTGACCTACCAAAAATATATCAACCTCACTCTTGAAGGTGTGGATGGATCCAGGATCCACGGCCTTTTGGGGGAGAGAACCCCCCCCCTTTGAGTGAAAAATGATACTCATTTCACTCTTAAATGGCCTGGTTCTAATTTTAAGACTTTTCCCCCTTGTTTTGGATTCCCCCCCCAGGGGAAATAGCTCCTCTACATCTACCCTATCAAATCCCTTTATCATCTTAACTACTAATGAAATTAACTACCTTAACTACCCCTCAACCTTCTAAACACACGGGAATACAATCCAAGTTTATGCAGACTTTCCCCTGTAACTTAACCCTTTGGCGTCTGGTAACATTCTGGTGAACCCGCACTGCACCTCCGCCAGGGCCAATATGTCTTTCCTGAGGTGTGGTGCCCAAAGCTGACCAAAGTACTCCAGATGGGTTCTGACTAACGCTCTATACAGCTGAAGCATAATTTCTTCCCCTTTGTATTCCGAGCCCCTTGAGATAAAGCCAACATTCCATTCGCCTTTTTGATTACCTTTTTCCACCTGGGAGCTAATTTTTAGTGATGTGGATATGAACACCCATATCTCTTTGCTCCTCCACAGTTCTCCCCATTAAGAAAACATTCTGCTTTATCTGTTTTCCGTTCATAGTGGAAGACCTCACACTTCCCTACCTTGAACTCCATCTGCCACAGCTTTGCCCACTCATTTAATCCATCCAGTCCCCTTGTAACTTCCTACTCTCATCTACACAGCACATTCCTAGCTTAGTATCGTCTGCAAACTTGAATATAAAACTTTCTATTATTTCATCCAAGACATTTTTATTATATCTATAATATATACAGACCCCTGGGGGCACCACTTATCACGACCCGCAATCAGAGATCGTTCCCTTTATCCCTACTCTCTGTTTCCTGCCTCCCATCCAATTACCAACCCACGTCACAAGGTTACCTCTGACTCCATGAAAATTTTCACTAATAATCTTTTATGTGGAACCTTATCAAATGCTTTCTGAGAGTCCATATAAACGACATCCATAGACACACTCTTATCTACCATGTTAGAGACTGCCTCAAAAAATTCAACTAGATTAGTCAGACACGACCTACCCTTCACAACCCCATGCTGACTCCCTTTGACTAGCTCATACCTGTCCAAGTATTCAGTCACTCTGTCCCTGATGATGGATTCCATATTTTCCCTACAACTGACATTAAGCTGCCAGGTCTGAAGTTTCCTAGTTTCTCCCTCCCTGCTTCAATAAAGGGCTGACATTTGCAATTTTCCAATCTAAGGGCATAATTCCTGAATCTGGTGAGTTTTGGAAAATTATGACGAATGCATCTGCAATTTCCTCTTCTATTTCCTTTAACACTCTGGGGTGGAAACTATCAGGTCCTGGAGATTTGTCTATCTTGAGTCTCATTATTTTCTCCCATTACTTTTTTTTATTTATATTAATTTTATTAAGCATTTCTCTTTGACTTATTTTTAGGTTCCCATGTGCGGCTGGTATTTTGTCCTCATCCTCCAGTGTAAAAATGATAGTGAAGTATTTATTTAACAAGTCAGCCATTTCCCTATTTTCCGTTATAGTCTCACCTACATCTGTCTTTAACGGACCCACGTTCCCCTTGACCATTCTCTTTCTTTTAATATATTTATAAAAGCTTTTACTATTGGTTGTAATATCCCTTGCAAGTTATTTTTAGTATTCACTTTTCGCTCCTCTTATTAATTTCTTTGTTTCCCTTTGTTGCCTTGTGTAGTTCTCCCAGTCCTCTGCATTCCTACTTTTTCTTGCATTTGAGTCAGCCTTTTCTTTTAGATTGATACAGTCTCTAACCTGTTTTGTGCACCATGGTTGCTTAACTACACGATTGGAGCTTTTGCATTTTAGGAGTATGTACTGTATTGTCAAATACTTTTTTTGAATACTTCCCATTGTTCATCTGCAGGTTTACCCACTAACAGTTCAGCCCAGTTTACTGTGGTCAATATATTTCTCATCCCACTGAAGTTTGCCTTACTTCAATTTAAAACTCTCCCGTCTCCCTCTCAGATCCAATGTCAAATTCAATCATATTATGATCACTATATGCAAGATGTTCCCTTACTGTCAGATTGTTAACTAGTTCTGGCTCATTACACATCACCAAATCCATTATGGCTTGTTCCCTTGTTGGTTCTAAAACATATTGTTCCAAAAAACTGTCTTGAATACATTCTAGAAATACATTGCCTTTACTACCTGAGGTGTCCTGCTTTTCCCAGTCTATGTGAAAATTAAAATCTCCGATTATAACCACACTGCTTTTGCTACATGCTTCCATGATCTCCATATTTATACATTTGCCCACTGCATCACAACTCTCTGGAGGTCTGTAGACTACTCCCAACAGTCTTACTTCTTTGCTATTCCTTCATTCTACTCACAGTGTTTCCACTGCCTGACTGAAATCTTTCCTTTCCACTGCTGTAATCGTATCTTTTATCAATATTGCTACTCCTCCTCCTTTCCCAATGTCCGTGTCTTTTCTAAAGATCTTATCGCCTGGAATATTTAGCTCCCAGTCCTGCCCAGCTTGTAACCAGGTCTCTGTAATGGCTATTACATCATACCTTTTAAGCTGAATTTGTACTTCTAACTCACATGTTTTATTTCTTATGCTATGAAGGGGGCCCAGTTATAGTGCTTGGATTATCTAACAACAAAATTACATTTGTATAGCGCCTTTTGTTCACACAGACTGGGAATCACAGCTGTGATTTGATCTCTGTGGTTTACTAGTACAATGTCAGCTTTAATCTGTCGGCAAAGTGTTGGATTTGAACACAGTTTGGGTTTCCCTTGGTCAAATACAAGCAAGTTCAGATTGGGAGCTGATTTGAGACGTGCTTGTTCAAGGGTAGATAATCTTCAATCAGTTCATCTTTGTGATTTAACATCAGGCGTTTCGCATTTCATTCAGGAATGGGTGATTAAGAAATACAATTGTACTAAATGCAATTGTAAGCGTTTTTTTTAAAAGAGAATTTCTAGTGCTCTTAACAGCTACTACTGAAATAGAAATACTGCGGTCATGCACAGTTCACTCTAAAGTGGGTCTCTTAATCCTTCTTACTTCCCAAGAATTTAAGGAATGTTTTCTCCTACTGTGAGTGTAACGTAATTCACATGGGAAAGGTTAGTGGGTTTGAGAGCCATCAGTCAGAAGTTCAGACAAGGAAAGTTTTTTTTAAAATACAAAAAAAGGATGAGTTTTGTGTTTGAAAACACTTTATGCGAGTTACAAATGATCTTTGAAGTTTTCTTGGACAATAGGATGCATCTGGTCAATTAATTGCGTTAATAACATTGGTTACTCTGGGTCATTAAGCCCAATTAAGTCCTCTGGGACGCTCCCCTGCCTCAGTGGTGCTACATAAACTAAAGTTGTTGCTGACTAGTTTTTTCTTAATTCGGTTCTCTAGTGTACGCCATTCGAGAGGCTGCCACCAACAACTTGACAAAGCTGGTAGAGAAGTTCGGCAAAGATTGGGCTCAGTCAACCATTGTCCCTAAAGTGCTCGCCATGGCCAACGATCCCAATTATCTTCACAGGATGACCACCTTGTTCTGCATCAACGTGAGTATATTACCTGTTTGGGGCTTACACAGTGATATGCCACAGAAACAGCTCATGTGGGCCAACTAACCTGTGCCATTATTTACAATATTTATATTTTAACTACTTAATGTATATTTTCAACCATAAAATATTCAGTCATTCATTTACAGTATCAGGGTATCAAGGGATATGGGGCAACGGTGGGTAATTGGAGTTGATGTAGAGATCAACCAGAAGTCACTGGGAACACTCAGGCTATGGAGAGAGGAAAGTGAGTTAACATTTCAAGTCAATGACCGTTCATCAGGTATGGGGATGTTGGAAGGGAGCAGTTTATAAGGACCAACAGAAGAGGGGCAGGGAAAGAAAGACAGGAAAAAATGAGGTGGAAGACAGAAGCTGATGAGAACAGAGATGCTGATGGTGTAAGACAAAGGAAGGCAATAGTGGGAGATTATAGAAAGGAAAGATGTGTCTAAGACTCGAAAGATGTGTGAATGGTTATAGAAGAGGAGGAGGGGGAAGGCAAGGCTGAGAGAATATGGGAGATGTGGCTCACTCAGGTCTGAAGTGGTTAAAATCTGTGTTGAGTCCAGAGGGCTGCAATGTGCCTAGGAGATAGAACACAATATATTCTGTGAAGTGCTTTGAAATGTCTCAACGAAATGATAAGGTGCTGTATCATTCAAAATCCAAATCATTTAAAACTCTGCCGCCCGCATTCTCACCCGCACCAAACTCCGCTCCCCGATCCCCCCAGTCCTGGCCAGACTGCACTGGCTCCTGTCCCAGAGAGGACCGATTTCAAGATCCTCACCTTTGTATTCAAGTCCCTGCACTCCTCTGCACCCCCCGACCTCTCTGACCTCCTCTCTCCTCACAACAGTGCCCGTTGTCTTCGTTCCTCCGGGTCTGGCCTCCTCCGAGTCCTCCGCTCCACCCTCGGCGGCTGTGCCTTCAGCCACTATGCCCCGAGGCTCTGGAGCTCCCTTCCTCACTCCCTTCCCCTCGCCCCTTCTCTTCCCATTTTCAGGTCTCTGCTGAAGACTTTTCTTTTCAACCGCGCCTTTGGTCACCTTCCTCCCCCTCCCCCGGCCCGTCCCCCTCCCCCTGGGCTCGGCCCCGGGATCTGTTACTGTAAAGCGCTCTGAGAAGCCGTCCGGTGTGGAGGGAGCTATATAAATCCAAGTTGTTGTTTTTGTTGTATCAAAGCAAGGATTATTATTATCGTCTCCTATTTCCCTCTCTATACCCCATCTTCCTCAAATCCAAATCCCTTTGGTGTTCTGACTGTGGCGCTTGTGAAGCAACTGAAAGTCAGGGCCATCTGTACCAAGGGGTCTCCATTCATGGCTGACTGTTCTTACATAGAATTACATAGAATATACAGCACAGAAACAGGCCATTCAGCCCAACTGGTCTATGCCGGCGTTTATGCTTTTCCTGATCCTCCTCCAACCCTTCCTCAGCTAAGCCTATCAGCATATCGTTCTATTCCTTTCTCCCTCATGCACTTATCTAGCTTCCCCTTAAATGCATCTATACTATTTGCCTCAACTAGTTCTTGTGGTAGCGAGTTCCACATTCCCATCACTCTCTGGTTCTGCATCTCTTCCAACTAAAGATGAGAAGTGAACGTTGTGAGGACCATAGGGCTCTGCCATTGTGTGATGGCTCCTTCTGCTGCTGTTTGAGTGCACAGTTTAAATGAAATGCGACTTGAATAAATACTCTGAACTCTACTGGCTTCGTCAATAGTCAGTGATCCATGTAAATGATTCGAATGATTAATTTACTCATGTACAGGCTTGGACTCTTGTTATAGAATCTTCCAGCACAGAAGGAGAACTTTCGGCCCATGACAACTCTTTGAAAGACCTACCCGACTAGACCCACTCCCCCACTCTTTACCCCACAGCACTGCAACTTTTTTCCCGTTTCTGTAATGTGTGTGTGCATAACGTGTATGTAATTTGTTAATGCGTGTGCTATTCTGTCTCAGAATTGCCAGTGACTTTGTCGGTAAATGTTGCTTTTTTTCTTCTGTTGAAATTCCAGGTGCTGTCTGAAGCCTGCGGGCAGGATATCACAGCAAAGCAGATGTTGCCCACAGTGCTACAGATGGCAGGTGACCAGGTAGCAAACGTTCGCTTCAACGTAGCTAAGTCCTTGCAAAAAATAGGACCCGTTTTAGATTCTAAGTAAGTATTCCTACAAATGATTATAAATTCTCTTGTTCCTGGAGCTTCCACTGCAAAGTGATCTGGAGACTTCTGTGAGGATAACTGATCTATGGAGAGACCTGGGTTTGATTCCTGGGCAGGGCAAAACGCTGGGCAAGTTTTCTTATTCCACACGCCTCTGTTTGCCTAGCAGTGAGTAGGAACCCGGTCATTAGTCGATTAGCGGATCACTTTTCCGGAGGTAATAATTCCTTCCAAAAAAAAATAATAATAAATTGGTCACTTCAATCCACGGCTGTTTGTGGGACGATGAGAATTGAGAGCCATGTTTGCCGCATTTCGCCCACAAAATATACAGCCAATTCCCTTTACACTATATTCTGTGAAGCGCTTTGAAGACGTGATGAGGCGCTGTATCAAATGCTCAGATTATTATTTTCTATGGCCATTCGCATTTTCAAGACTCGGGTGGATCGATTTTCGTTAGGTCAGAGGATCGAGGGATATGGGGCAACGGTGGGTAATTGGAGTTGATGTAGAGATCAGCCATGATCTAATAGAATGGCGGAACAGGCTCGAGGGCCTGAATGTCCTCCTCCTGTTCCTATATTCCATTGGTTTCCACAGAACTGCAATGTAACCTAACCTCCCCTGACCTGCACTTCTAACCTTGAATTCTATATTCATTGTGATTGTGGCTGTTCGTTTAACACGATAATCTAATCAAAGCTGTGACGGCGCTTTTTTGGCTTTAATTTTTTTTTAAGCATCCTCCCTCTACCCCTGGCTAGGTGTCAGACTCCGCCACTGTGAAGCGCTCTGGGACACCACCCCACTTGAGGGGCGCTATATAAATGCAAGTTGTTACTGTGTTTTTTTCAAAAAAGGATATTTCTTTATAAAAAAAATTGCAACTTTTTGTTTGTGGTTATAATTGCAGCACTTTACAGACTGAGGTCAAGCCGGTGCTGGAGAAACTGAGTCAGGACCAGGACATGGACGTGAAATATTTTGCACAGGAGGCCATATCTGGTAAGCTTGGTGCAGTCACATTCTTGGGTTAAAGGACAGAGGGTAAAATAAGGAAGTCAATGGACTAAACTGGCGTGTGGGCATGTAGTTTCTCTTTGAAGCTGTGAGACCCTGGTTGTGCACGCACTGCACTTCGGTTTGATGTTGGCGGTGCCAAGTGTACAGTTCCCGATCCGTTCTGGGTTCCAGAGAGCAAGTTAACCCTCTCAACTGGGAGATGTCAACTGAAGGTTGCTGAAGGACACAATTCAAAGGGAGTGTTCATGTCCCTCCTGGTACAGTAAGTTGTATCAGTTTAATATGACTTCTGCAAAGTACGAGTTATGCCAAAGTTGCACAGAATATAAACTCTTGAACCTGACTTGGGCCGATGTACGACTTAGGCCATTATACCATTTATACAGATCAGACTTATGTGAGTTTTACTGTAACACACTGTCCCCCTGTATTTCAAAATAGCTAACTGCCACTGGGTATCAAGATATTCAGAAAGTATTTTGAAAATAGACAGAAGTGGATGATTCAGACTCGACATGTCTTTTTGAGAGATAGCTACCATGATGTAACAGAGAGAGAATTGAGAGCCAAATACGCATTCCTTTTGGAATAGTAATTCAAAATGGTTTCAAGGGACAACTTTATACCATTTGGAGTCCTGCAGTCCCGGTTAGAGCAATTGCCTCACAAGCAGAGGACCTGGGTTTGATTCCCGACAGACTGAAAAGTTGGGCAAGTTTCCTTACTCCACACGCTTCTGTTTACCTTGCAGTAAGTAGGAACCCGGGTTGTTAGTCGATTGGTGGATCGCTTTTCCGGGGATGATAATCCCTTCAAAAAAATAATAATAATGAATTGGTCACTTCGATCAGTGTCCTGCTTGAATCAGTTGGACTGACCTTGCTCACCAATTTCCTAACGATTCTCCCTGCTCTTCACCTTTCTGAGCATTTGTGAAAATATTTCAGCGGATATAATCTCCTCCAGTTTGTCACTTAAATGGAATGAGTAGTAGTATTGACTTGTATAAGGGTTCTGGGGCGCTACATTGCTGTAGTTGTTGTCCCAAAACGTAAAGCAAATGGCGTTTGGTGTAAAAATGGTTCGAAAGTCGTATTGAATTTATCTGTGTGCTAATACTGGTTTCTCTTTTCCATGTGTAGGGCTCTCCCTGGCATAGAAAAAAAGAGCTAAAGAAAATGGCTTCTATTCGCCGTAAGCCTGCAAGTGCTGTTGTGATGAAAACTTCCAAGTGTCCCATCCAAGCATAATTAAATATATCTGTATTTAACAAATTAAGATTTACCACTGGTAGAGAGAGAGTCACTGGATTCTGTTGGGAAATGAGTATTATGTTTTAAAAATTGATCGGTGTTTTGTTGGCTGTCTAAAATGTGGAGTGTTCAAGATTGTGAGTTATTTCTTATTGGCTGTACACCTCCCAGTGAGAGCGCCATCATTTAGCTGCTGACTGCTGAACATTGGAAAAGTTGCGATCTCTTTAAAAGAGGGAATGGAACACCTATGTTTTAACAGTCAGCGACACACCCCAGCCCAATGAGTTCCAACAAGCTGCCATTAATCATTGTAGTCCACACGAAAAGTCGTGGCAAAACAATTTGTTTTAAAAGCTACCGATATTTGGTTTCTATTGGCAGGATAAAGTCTCTCCCTCCTCTTCCCCCCCCCCCCATTGTAATCAAAGGAGCCGAGGCATTGATTTGGGATGCAGTGTGATCAAAGTGGACCTCGGTGGCATTTATATTTAACTTTTAAGTTTGTTCACTTTCATTAAGTTGTAACTTATCACTCTTACCACATTTCTGCCAATGGGCGACATGAAAGATTAATATTATTAATGCTTTTACCTTGTCACACGCTGAATCGGTCTTCGTTTCGGTAACTGGTAGCTTGTGTTTTGCTCAGTGTATATTTTTCAGAGTCTCTTCAATTGAGTCTCCCTGGTGGAAGGTAACCACGGGGAATCCATTAGTTTGCAAAAGGCAGTTTAATCACCAACTACGTCAGTAATGAGAAATAACGTGAAAATCACAATTGGGAATTGCATTCCTCGTTCGAAGTCTTGTGAATAATTGTTGGTCGTGTTTGTTCCCCACAAAAGGCTTTGTTTTATATCTGTTTCCTCGTTATTATACGGGCAGTTATTTCGGGAATACTCCAAATAAAGTGGAAAATGCGAAACGTTTGTCTTTTGTTGTACGTTCTCAATGACTCGCTGTGTATATAAAAAAAAGCATCTGAATTGGATTACTCATCAACTAAAAGCAAAACCACAAAGTAAATTGGTTAATGTTACCTACTGCCCCAATGTAATCCATGCAGAACATGCAACCACTTGTACAGCCGCATCATGAGAAGCCAGGCCTGGGAGGGCCTTGGAGAGGCTGAATGGGAGCATGAGTTGGGAAGGGGGTAGATAGGTTGAGTGAGGGTGAGAGACCGAGGGATTTGGGATGAGTAACAGAGAGCAGGCACAAAGCGGCTGAGGGCTTGTCCATGAACAGTGGGGTGGGAGGGGGGGAGTTCATGTCCAGGTTAGAGTAGGGGTGGGAGGAACTGGAAGATTAAAGAGGTGATGTGTATACAGTATGATCATTCATATAAAACTGACCTCAGTTTTGGTATTCTGGGCCCAGAGTAGTAGTAGTAATAATCCATGCATCTGATATCGCACCTTATCACGTCGTTGAGAAAAAATCTCAAAAAGTGCTTCACGGAATGTATTGCAAAATAGATTGACCCTGTGTTTTGTGGGCAAACCAATGACAGTCATATAGAAGGAATAACGTTAGCACGAGCCGAAGAGAGGAGCGAGGGAGGCTGCTGCATGTCATTCTGCCACTGGTTACTGTTCATAAGTCAAACCAGAATCCAAGTTACAATAAATAATAATAATCCTCACATTTGATACAGCGCCTTGTCATGTCTTCAAGATGTCTCAAAAGTGCTTCACAGAATATACTGTAAAGTGGAGTGACTGTATTTTGTGGACAAAACGCGGCAGCCAATTGCGCACAGCAGTGTCCCACAAACAGCCGTGGATTGAAGTGACCAAATCATTTTTTGTAGGAATTATTATCCCTGGAAAAGCGATCCGCCAATCGACCAACAACCAAGTTCCTACTTACTGTTAGGTAAACAGGAGTGTAGAGTAAGGAAACTTACCCAACATTTTGCTCTGCCCGGGAATCGAACCCAAGTCTCTCACCTGCAAAGCGAGTGTTCTAACCACTGAGCTACAGGACTCCAAAGTTGCACCTTGACCAAAGCCTCTGTTGAGAGGTTAAGCTGTTACAAGATACAATTTTCCACACTGGTACACAATAGAAGCAATAATGTTAGCACGAGCCGAAGAGAGGAACGGGGGAGGCTGCTGCATGTCATTCTGCCGCTGGTTACTGTTCATAAGTCAAACCAGAATCTAAGTCCACAAAATATACAGTCAATTTGCTTTACAGTATATTCTGTAAAGTGCTTTGAGACGTCTTGAAGACGTGATAAGGCGCTGTATCAAATGCCAGGATTATTATTAGTTAATGCTTTAAGCAGGCACAGAACTCATTTGACATTGATGAAAGCAGCTGCCATTAATTGGTTTGACCATAAATATTTCTTATCGCCAAACAAAATTCAATTACTAGATGGAAAGGAGATCGGAGCTACAAAACTCTGCAAGTTCTGTAATTACAATTTAAGGACACATCAAATCACTGCACATAGTCAGTGACTAACTCGCTCTTTCAGAAATAGTTGCTCTTGGAGTCTTTGTTAAAGTTGCTTTTCTCCCCACACCATTCTCTGGCTGAGACGCAACACCGTCTGCGATACCATGAAGGTAGGCAAGATTCCCACATTGAGCACTTTGTGCTTCAGGTCCAGGCCGCCTCTCTATTACAGTGGGACACTGCTGTGCAATTGGCTGCCATGTTTCACGCGCAGTCACTTCACTTTACACTATATTCTGTGAAGCACTTTGAGACGTCTCAACAACGTGATAAAGCACCGTATCAAATGCAAGGATTATTATTTTATTACAATTGCAGTGCACAGAGGGTGCTGCATTGTCAGAGATGCTGTCCTTCGGCTAAGATGTGAAACCGAGGTCCCGTCTGCCTGTTCAGTTAGATGAGATAGATGTTAAGGATAAATAGTGACACTATAATCGTAAAATAATCGTCCTTGCAGATTAGTATGACACCTCTGATTTGGGGAGGACATATCAAAGCTCTCACAGGATTTAAGGTGAAGTAGGGTGACTGTGTGCGGGCAAATGTGGAAAGAGAAGCGAGTTTCTCCAGTGACCTGACCAACGATCTCCTCCAGGTATATTCGTCATTTACTCCCTGGCTCTTGGTGGGATGTTGCTGTGCGCAATTTGACTGCATCATCCTGTTAAAAAAAAAGTTACATAAGTGCATACGTCATCCCTTACACATTCACTGCAGAATATAACACTGAGCTCCAGGGTAATTCACAAATCTCCTTGCTATTCATGTGATGCATATAATAAGGTTATCTCCCTGATAACTGCCCTGTGGTGTAGTGCAGTAACTATTGCATAACTTGCAAGCAATGTTTAAAACATCCCTTCCTAGCTGCGTTCAGTCTTCCTTCAGTCATTTCATGGAAGAATATAAGAATAACATAATCATTTTGCCCACAAAATAAACAGTCAATTCATTTTGCGGTGTGTTTCTGTGAAGCGCTTTGAGATGCTTAGATGTGATAATGAGACGCTAGCCAGCGTGGAGGGTGCTATATAAGTGCAAGTTGTATATCGAATGCAAGGATTTTTATTATTAATTGCTAGACAAAAGAAGTTTACCTTCCACTATCCCACAGTCGCTTGTATATGTCGTGTCCCAAACTATGTGCTGTATCTCGTGATGTTATTACCTAACAGAAATCTATCTCATTCGTCCTTGAAAGGATTGACACTTTCTGCTTCTGACGTCTCCCTAGGCTGTTCCATTTTACCAAAATAATCTTGGTCTGTGCCCGGAAATAACGTCTGCAATGAGTCAGGGGTTTGTGTCGCACATGGAAACAGGGTGAGTTCATCCTTGAGTAATCGAGTTTGAAAGATGCATTAAATCAAAGGCTAACGTTCATTCCACCTGGTTACAGCAGTCAATTAGACACTTGCATCTGAGCAGAGCCACTGACCCAACTTATCCCTTTGTGCGGAAATGTTTCCATGGAGCAAACTTTTTCCTCCACAAGTTTCTATGTTGGTTAAAACCAGGAAACTCATTCAACTTTACGTTTACACAACGCCTTCACATCAGGAGGATGTCCCCCAAGGCGCTGGATAGTGAAGCGTTTGCATCCAAGTTGCAGGCTGGATTCAGGGTGGGGTGGAGGGCAAGGAGTGGGGGTGGGTTGGGGGTTATTGGTGGTGGGAGGGTGACCGAAGGCACAGTCGAACACAAAGGTTTTGAGACGGACCTTGAAGTCAAGGGGGGGGGGACGAGGTGGAGGGGTGGAGTTCCAGGGGGTGTGGGCAGAAAGGCTGAAGGCTTGACCTCCGATGTTGGAGCGGGCAGGGCAGGGGACACATTCACCCCTGTATTTCCATGACGGGTTTGGCCCGAATGATTAATTCAGTGACACTAGTTGATGTTCTTGGGGTCTGTGTAATGCACAACACTACACAAGACAAAGTTGCTTCAAACGTCTTTTAGAGTTGAATTTTTCTTTATCCAGAGCTAACGTCTTGGCTGTATAAAGACACAAATTGCCAACACTTTGATCTTTTCATACCTCGAGGAGTCGCATCGTGTCCTTGTTTGCTTATTACTGAAAGGGCGAAAGTTACAAGTCCGATTTAGAAACCATCAGACCTGTTGTGAAAATAAAATTGCGAGACACGTTATTCAAAGCTTTAAGTAACAAGCTACGGGACACAGTATTTGTGCAATTTCTCCTAAGGGGAACTGACAGAGAGAAACAGAGAGAGAGAGAGTCCATTCAAAGGGAAATTATGTTCTACTGCACTCTTGCAACCAAATATGACAAAGTGAGAGAGATCAATGCATTTGACAGTTTGTGTACAAAATCACGTGCGATACACACAGCCACTATACTTTGCAGCAAATCCTATGAAGTGCTTTTCATACGTGAATAATAATAAGCCTTGCATTTGATATAGCGTCTTAGCAGGTCGTCGAGATGGCTCAAAGTGCTTCACAGCATATGCTGTAATGTGTAGTGACTGTGTATTTTGTGGGCAAAACCTGGCAGCCAGTCGTGCACAGCAGTGTCCCACAAACAGCCACAGGACTCTGAATTGTGAACTGCAAGAAGGATTACTATTTCTCTCGGTTCTCTTTGCTCTTTGCATATCAAGAACGTCATTCCTGTTAATATAAATGCTTTTACTGACACTCAGGAACTGATGTGGAGGTTTACACAGTGAGTCTGACACAAATAACAGCTCCCGATTGCACCTCGAGGTGGGGGGTGAGGATGAAGGTGAGAGGGTGGGGGTGGGGGGGTGCGGTGCGCAGGGAGGGAGGGGGAGATGGGGAGGAGAGACAGTCACAATTCTGAAAATGAACAGCGTTGAAAAGAGCAAATAGATTTGTTCCCATTTCCGGAGCTGTTGGTAATTAAGCCTTTTACCGCGAGGACCCATCAAAACAGAACATCAGCTCCGCAAAGTCTCACTGCAGGTAATTTGGAGAGAAATCTGGGCTCTGATTCTTAACGTTAAAGCGTTTTGCAAATTCCCAGTCATGCAATTACAACACATCGCTGAACACACGTCAATCTCTGCAAACCAACTCCTGGGCCTTAATATGTTTTCAGCCGCGCTTAATTGAAGACGTTTGGAGAAAGGGAAAAAAAAGAAGGAAGGAATCCCACAGGGAGTTTTCAAATGACTGTTGGAGCCCATTAGATTCTACACAATCTTAAGAGGGGGAAAAAAAAGTGATATTTTACAATTTCTCTTCGACAGGGTCTCTACGTGTCTACGTGAAGGATAATTATAATAATAATAATAATCCTTGTATTTTATTTAGAGCCTCATCACATCTTCTAGACGTCTGAAAGTGCTTCACAGTAAAGTGTAGTGACTGTATATTTTGTGGGCAAAATGATACGAAGGATACACAAATGAAGCAGTTTTTCTGTGCAGTGTGATATTCACTTGATTTTTGAGGGTCAGCCGGGTGTCT